CAGAGGGCCAATTTAAGAAGTCCAATATCCAGCAACAGGATTATTAAAAGAAGAAGATAGGAAATAATCAGAAAAAATATCTCAGTTTTTAGAGGATGTTAGGGGGCTGCTGTGAGATGTGTCAAAGCCCAGGCATCTGAGGGTGTCTGAGAGCACCTGAGGACACAATCCCATCATTTAGTGCAGTTGCACTATGGGGCTTCGGTATATAATAATGAATCAGCATAGACAACCCACACATGTGCCATGCAGCTTGCAAGGCTGTCCAGAATGTTTTGTCTTACTATGTCTCAGTGAACTGATAAAAAAACAAAAAAAACCCTAACTACTACAAATACTTTTTTGGAAAATAAAGCTGGATTCCTGCTTTGCTGTCTGCTGCATGTGTGTTCTTTCCTTTGGGAACCTCACCTTACCAGGCCTCCCTTCTGCCACCAGCAAGGACAGAGAGCCCACACATTAGTGAGAACAATGGGTTAAAATAGATACCAATTGAGACCATCAAAATAACATTTTCATTGACATATTTCTAGTACCTAAAATAGTGCCTTGCACCTACTCTATAAATCTGAATTGTAGAATAAACTTCCCTGGAGGAAGTCAGTGCAGAAGAGGAGAACACCTCTAAAGCTGTGGCTGGAGGCACATCTGAAGAAGATTAAAGCCACAATGGCCAGATCTGCATACTTTCCTAAGGGATGAAAGGAAGCTTGAGATTATTGGCACCACCCTAGACCATTAACTCACTGGGGTGGGCCATCCTCTCCCACTCACTGGTTAAGGCCACTAAGACTCAGAAGGCGTAACACTAAAACTACAGATTATCAACTAAGGTTAATGATGCCATCCACATGCCCTTGTTACTACTGGGTCAATATTACCAAAGCAATTATGCTTGAAATCTTACTGGTTGATTACAGTTTTAACCCATGTTGTACCCACCCCTTGAGACTTTGCTCTATAGAATAGCCTTTGAGAAGTGGGCTCTTTGGCAACCCATTTGGGACCCCTCTGGTCTCTCAGGAGCTATTCTTATTCCCCATTCCTATTCTCAAATAAATTTTCCTACTCTTAACCTCCATTTTCCTTAGAATTCACTCTTTGACTTTGACATCTAACATGTTGAGGGGTACATTTACTTCCCCCATATTATTCCTATATGAATTTGTTCTTCTTAATAGCAACACCTGAATCTAGAAGACAATAGAGCGATCCATTCAACATTGAGAGGAAAAATTGACTTTTCTGCTTTTAAAGAGAAGCCACGTAGCTGGGCGGAACGGCACAGGCCTATAATCATAGCGCCCTGGAAGGTTGAGGGAGGATTCCAAGTTTCAGCTCAGCCTGACAATTTAGCAACTTAGCAAGACCCCTGTCTGAAAATTATTGTTTTAAAGAAAGGGGGTGAGGTGGGGGTGGGGATTGGGAATGTAGCTCAGTACAAAGCCCCTGGGTTCAACCTCTACTAGGAGAAAAAAGGAAACCACTGATATGTTCAGATATACAAGATCTCCAAGTTTGCTTCCTTTGCATTTTTTCTCAGAAAGCTTCTAAATTGTGTCCTTCACTAAAACAAGGGTACAAGCAAGGGAGGGGAATACACAGGAATCAGGAAACAGAATCCAAGACCAGAGACAGGCAAAGAGAATCCTCGGGATGACCAGGAAAGGAGCCTCATCTGCTGCCTGGACTAGGGCTAGAGCACCTCCAACTGACTGCTTTAGAGCAAGTCTGCATTCCTGTAGAAGATGAAACAGTCGCTAGTGTATCTGGATATACTGAAAGGAGATTTACACAATTGAGGGAGAGGTAGAATTAGTAACATGTCAATAAAAGAAAACCCAACCAAACAGCACTCAAATAATCAAGACAGTAAAATAAAATAAGAGTCTATAGAAGGAAACAGTCACTGTGATTTGCAGGGATTAGCTGTGAATAGCGTTTTCCTGCTTCTAATAATGCATACTATTAATATAACGATGAACCTGGTGTTTCTACATCGAGATGATGGGTAGAGGGGATGAGTGCTCAGGATGGCAGCAGGGAACAAGAGAACGAGATGAAGTCCTTACTTCTGGAAGCAGAGAGAATGTCTAACCTGGAAAACCCTCTGAGTCACACTCCAGCTCCTGCGTTACCTAGGAACCTGGAGGGAAATCCCCTAGGACTCAAGGGTGGGCTGGGTGTGGGGAAGTAGCTACCCGTAGGGAATAAGGATGGGTGGGGGAGAATGGTTAGGGATGGTTGTTTTCAAAACTGCAGATCTGTTTGATTCTTTGAATTATATGCATGTGTAGCTTCAGTAAAATGAAACCAACCCAGGAAATTAGGCTGTGGAAGTATCTGCTGTCACACAGACCTAATTGTTAACACTTCCTTCAGATGATGTTTTTAACTTCTTTGAACATCAGTTTCTCATCTGAAAACAATGGAGATAATAATGTTACTTCCATGCCTGGTAACAGAGAGGATGAAATACAGTAAAGTGCACAAAGCCTTAGCACCATGCACTTAGCTTTTGGGGGATTCCTTTCGCTTTGCTTCTTTGCATCCTTATTTTATTCATTTGCTCTTTCCCCAGATTATCAAATTTCCATCACATTTATGATCAGATCAGCTTCCACATATTACAACCACTTCACTTTGCTTGGAATTCTGACTGCTATCAAATGCATTGAAAGATGAAATCAGTATCTACTAAAGTGGCAAAAGCAGGCATAGCACGCTCATAAGGGTGGCTGGAAACATATCCACCAGGAATTATAAGGAATCCATTTCTCACTTTGCTATCTACAGTATCTGGATTTTAAAATTTTATTTGTACAATGGGCAGGTAGCACTCTCTGATCACAAAGCAAACAAGCCTATTTCAAAACCTCTCCCATTATAAATTTGCAATTTTATGATTTATTTTTAAAGGTGGCTTTTTCTCCACTTTCTATGTGAATTTTGCTAGTCTGACTCTGTGAGAGCCAATGTCTTGGGACCCTGCTGTACCTCCCCAACAAAGACACTCTGTCTGCTGCCTACATCACTCCAGTTTGCCCATACAGAAATACAGGGTTAATGGCTGGTCTGGGTCACAGCCAGAAAGTGGAGGGTTAAGACTCACGTTCAAGTTTCCTCACTCTAAGCCTCATGTTCTTTCCACCATGGGAACTGACCATCAGGAAGTGACAATCATCTCTCTGGGCTCAGATTCATAATATGAAGGTGTGCAATAGGTGACCTTTAAGTTCCTGCCAGCCCTAGCTTTTCATGACAAAATTTAAAGTGCATCATTAACAATATTTGTTCAAGATCTGTATGGGGACTACGGATTCTACCAAATGCCAAAAAAGTCCATATGATCATGAAGTCCAGTTTTCTTGCTTTCCATTTCTACTTCCTATCTTATGTATAAATACCAAGGTATAAAATGGCCGTGTGTTTTATTTTCTCTTTCAAAATCCCTTATCAATGCTAAGCAAAGGGATTTGGAAACTCATTATGCATTTCCCCAGAAGCTGCAAAGTTGTGAAATTCACCAGGCTTGGGGCCTCCCAGGAGAATGAGCCCTGATTGGACAAGACAGCTGTTTGCAGCGATTGTTCGAGGAGTTCTCAGAAATAACGGAGAGGAGTGGCGACCCAGTTCCGAGCTTCCAGCTTCCTGTTAGGGCCCACATCCAGTGGCCATAGATGACATCCCACGGGGTTTTCTTCTTCCTTGGCCACAGAAAGCACTTGGAAAGCTGTGCTCAGCCAGCTGGGGAGGTCACAGATGTCACAGCCCAGCCTAGGGCCCTGGGGGACTCAGAAGGAACAAAAACCAAATTACTGCGAAAAACAGAGTTTCAAACTGAATAGAGATCAAAGAGATTGAGTGAAATGGCCTTTACTTAACTGTCGGCTGAAGTCTGTGTAATTAACTGTGTGACACACCTGCGCAGGTGGCCCCCCCCCCCCCCCCGCCAACAACCCCTTGCAGCAATTGGTCAGAGGTCTTCCCCACGCAGTGGTGGTACCGCCTCTGGGACATGAAACTCCTTCTGCGATTGAAGATCCAGGACCCCATCTCAAAAAACTTCTTTTGAAAGACAAATCCTTATGAAACTGATCTGAGAGCTGATTATGTGTTAAAGGCACAATCCCAAACATCTCTCCTAAGTACCCGTGAGCGACTTCTGAAGGCTGAGGCACTGGTGAGGAGTTTCTGGTCCTTGCGCACTCTGCCACTTAACAAACCATTAAATGGAGCTAATTGCTATCAATATGTGGCCAGCTTGAAAACAACTCCGTCCTGCCCTTTGTATTCCCACACCTTCTCTTCAGCAAAAGGGAAGCAGATCAAGTGATGGAGGGGTGGGAAGGGGAGGCAGAGATTTAAGATGTGCATGTGCCGAGGCCCCATGAGGAATACGATCGTTATGTACCGCAAACGTGTGGGAATAAAAATTAAAAACTTAGAATCAGACAAAGGAGGTTATATCGCAGGTGCTACTCAGAGGCAGATGAAGGGAGACTCCCTCTGTCCCCACCTTGCAACACATCTGTACAGATCTTTCTTCTTTCTCCTCATAAAATTTGTATCCTCTAAGGAATATAATGAAGTTAGTCAAAAAGGTGTGTAAGACTTGTTCCTTTCCCTGTGGTCCCTCTTTCAGTCATGTTTCCATTTTTGTATCTCTTAGGACAGATAAGAGAGTCTTACTTTGCTGAGGCATGTGAAAGAGAAAGGGGTGATCTCCCCGTGTACCTAGCTGTAAATCTTCAAAGGATTGAAATCCAAGTGGTATTTATGCACAGTGGAGTACTATTGTGCCATAAAGAAGGATAGATTTAAGTCATTTGTAGGAAAATGGATGCACTTTGAGATCATAATGTTAAGTGAAATAAATCAGACATTCAAGCTTAAATACCATGAAATACCATGATAATAAACATGATTTCTCTTATATGAGAAACCCAAAGTATAAATTAAACAGCAGAATGAAAGCTAAATAACAGGAAAAGGGAAGACAGATTTTTTGCAAATGGGAAAGGGATGAAGAGGTGGAGGGACTGGGGAGGTGAAGGGGATGAACAAAGAATGAATGTGAACTGCAGATGTGCCTACCCTCCACTAGGAGTATGACCAGTGTGCACTGGAGACATGTGTTCTTAAAAAGACTATTTCTAAAGCGCTTAGCAGAGTGCTTGGCACCCAGCCAATGCCAATAAGCGTGAGTCCATACTTTTATTGTGATTTTATCCTTCTGGGTTCTGCCGCTTTGTTGCTGGGGAGGATGACAGAGCTTCCGCAGCCCAGATGGGGTCAGTGTAATCCACAACGGACCGCTGTGCTGTGTGGAACTTGCTCAGCCTGCCCTGGCTTCCAGGACTGGTAACTAGAAAAGAATGCATTTAGCTTTCCTCATCCTTGCTAATGGGAGTCAGCTGAAATAGCCTGGGGATTATAATTTTAGGAACTCTGACAGGAAAGGTTTGCAAAACTGTGGACAAACACAAGCTTCCTGAGAGGCCACAGACCAGGTGACTTTGCTGGGATGTCTAGTCAATCGGGGAGATGGTGAGGGAAGAGTGTGTTTGCTGGGCACCCGCGGGCATCTCATCTTCCTGTCCCTGGTCTCAGCTTGTCACAGGAATCAGCAATGGGATTATTATTTGATGTGTGGCCCAATTGCTACTTCCGGTCACACAAATAAAGCTCTAAGAAAGCGATTCTTCCTAGCAAGGCAGTCGACTTTTGTCATAAAGGAGCGTGTGCAATGGGTAAGTTGGAAGAGGTTTCAGTCAGTGCTAGGAATGATTCTTTTATATTAAACAAACAAAAGATGTTAAGGTGTTTTAGTGAGTACTCTTACCTAATGGAAAACAGGTTCTTTCAGTGAAAATGAAATTTTGATAAAAGGTGAAAAGGCAGTAGTTTATCCTGCAGATCTCTTCCTGCAGGTGTGCAGGCAGCTTATGCGTTGCAGCATTGTTTGTAGCACAAAAGATTGGAAATAATGTCCATCAACAGGGGAATAATAAAATAAATTACAGAAGTTCAGCAAGGGAATATTATGAGGACATAAAAAAGAATGAGCGAGCTCACTGGGTTTTATTATAAAGAAAGAGCAAGGTGCAAAGGAGTATTGTAAAAAGGTTTAGGGAAATTTTATACATATATTAATTCACAAAGGCAAAGTTATCTCTGAAAGGGTATAGGAGGAAATAGGAACAGAATGTTAGAGCTTAGGGAATTGACGGTTGGGGACAGACAGACTCGCTTCAGACACCTTGGCCCATGTTAATCATGAATCTGCGTGAATGCCCTTTCTTCTCTAGAAAATTGTTTTTTAATTTAAAAGAGGGAAGTACAGTAAAGAAAAGGCAGTGATGAGTTGGCCATCTCTCAGTGGAACGGAGAGAAAGCCAGGAAATCAGATAACATTGTTCTGTTTTCCTGAACCTTGTAATTTCAAAGATTTCTAGAAATATCCTTCAGGAATGTCAGACAGTCACGGTGCCATTAACGTCTCCGGCCACTCAACACCAGGTGAATCTGCGAGAATCATGCTGGGAATGCTACAGACATTTTTTCCATTTTACTGTAATTTTTTCTCACGCTGTCTTAGCAAACCCTTCATCAGAAGTTGAGCTCTCTGCAGCTAATCCGGTGAGCGTCCTGCCAGCGCCCACCTTGGGTCAGGGCCGCGGCCAGGGACTTCTGGATGCGGCCGGAAATCCGCCTCCCTCGCAGGGCTTTCCCTGGTTCAGGGCCAGCCAGCCTGGAAAGGGCACTGGGTAAAAACTAGGAACTTGTAACAAATGTTTCTTACTATGTCAGATACCACAGTAGCGAAAAACTGGTTGAGGAAGTACATTGGGAACTCTATCTTTGCTATTTTCTGTAAATGTACAATTGTCCAATAATAGTTAGATAGATAGATAGATAAATGATAGACTAAAATTAAGTGCTTGTTATCACCAATTCTATTAGATTTTCAAATTAAGAAAAAATTCTTTATTAAAAAATGATTTGCTTATTTTCTCTTTTTATAAACTATTTCTAGCTTTGTTTATTATTTTATTTTTTTCTGATTTACCCAGAATTGCTTCTTTCATATTACTTTAGAAATTAAAAGATTGGTTCATAACACTAACCTGATTAATCCAAATTCACTACCTTCTGTTCCACAACTTCCAGTGAATTGTTCAAAAACTGCCATTCGGAGTTGTTTTTCTGTCTTGTTTTGCTATCTTGGTATAAAAATCAGGTAAAGAACACAGTGTAAATATAATAGAGTGTGAATAACCTTTTCGCCCATTAGACTCATTTATTCTCTGAACTCATTTAATACGTGAAAGATGCCAATAAAATGAATAGATTGAGAGGTTGGTTGTGGAATCTCCCAAGTTGAACATTTTCCATTTATCTGTCTTTTGTGTTAATGTGAGCCCTAATTTTTTGTTTTTGTAAACTTTACAAACTTGGTGTTTTTGGTCTTTCAGATACAATCACACCTATATAAGAGAATCACACAAATTAAATTCATAATGAGGTAATTTTGAATTCAGAATAGCCAATGACTAATTTGGTGACATTCCACAACAGCCATATTATCTATACTTTTCTCTGTACATGTTTTCAGTTCTCACGAGCCTTAGAGAAGAACACACAATGGAATTCCGTGATCAGTAATAGACCAGGGCAAAGGGAATGAACTCATCTTGTAAAATACTACTTCCAGGTGGCTGGGGATGTAGCTCAGTGGCACCGTGCCTACCTGGCAAGCACAAGGTCCTGAGTTCAATCCTTGCTACTGCAAATAAATAAATAAAAATACTACTTCCAGGCTGAGGCAGAGTAAGCAGATCCTTTACCACCTATCAAATGTTTGGTTTTCCAGTGTCTGCTAGACCTTGAATTTCTGTTCCTGGGACAGCGCTGGACATTGATCAACAAAGGTACAACATCAAAGAGTATACAGCTGTTCTGCAAACTTTTGGCACACTTTTCTGTAAAGGGTCAGGTAGAAAATAATTTGGGCTTTGGGGACCATGGCAACTCTGTCACTACTCAGGCTCTGTCCCTGAAGATTGCCAACAGCCACAGGAGATAAACGGGTCTTAGGCTGCAGTCTGACAACCTCCTGACCCCTGTTAGTTTGTTTTGTTTTTAAATTGCATCTCCAAGCACATCACTCCACTCTGGGGACAGTGCCCAGGACTGCTTACATCTAATTAGAACTATTTATGTCTTGTGTGACGGTGACTTGGTTTCTTATGTTGTGTGGTAGAGACGCAGGCTTCGGGGCTGGAGAAATATGGTTGGAATTTCAGTACTGCCCCGCAGTAGCTGTGTGGTCTGGAAGCTTCCTTCTCTCATTTGTGGAATGTGGATAATAAATCCTACTTCAGAGCCATGTTGTAATGACTGAATGAGAATGGATGCCACACACCTGACACAAAGGAAATGCTAAAAAAATTATTTTTCTTCCCCAAACCTGCAAGAACATCCTCCTCTATGCATGGGGGAAGCGGAGAGCATGCCCAGCTTACCCACATACACGTGTAAACCCTTTCTCAGACCTCAGATATTGAAAATGAATTCTAATGAGCTTTAGTTTCAGATGATGCTATTTTAAAAAATCTGTCCTCAATTTCCAGGAATGCATTTTGTGCAGTTTTTGCAATCTCTCACATGCTAACCACAACCTGTCATCAAAGTGGCCAGAGGCTTTGATTCTGATGACTCGCAGGGAAGTAAAGCCAAACTAGAAAATATATGACCAGATTTTCCAGGGGCACGGAGCAAAAGAGATCTTAAAGAAAACAATTTAGATTTTATCGGATGCATGCTATGACCATATCTAAGCTTTTTAGAATTGGTTTTATTGTAAAAGTGCTTAGGGAATTTGCTTCCAGTGCCCTAAGTACTGGGTTGTAAAACAATATACTTGAAATTATTCCCCTTTGAAAAGTGTAATTAAAAATACAATACACAAGTGAAGCACTAGTGGTGGGAAATACGTTCATAGCTGGAGAGTGATTTGGTGTATTTCCTAACTTGTGTAAACATACTTAGATACTATAGAATTGAATGTATTTAGCATTAGATTTTTAAAGTTGGGGAATATTTCATTCTTTCTGTATTTAAAAAAATGTGCTTCCTCACTAGGAAAATTATTGTGCTCAATATTAACACGGCTATTTAACATGTGTAAAGCACTAATATCTTCAAAGAAATAGTGTAGTGCAAAAGCAATACAATTTTGGGAAACAATAAGCCACCCAACAGCTGGGAGAAATTATTTTTTCACGCAGATTTGAAGATTGGATGTCTTAGTCATGGAGTCTTCTCCTTGATTATTGGCATCAGTACTCTGATATGTGACTCACTACATTTGTTTCTGTGTTCATTTATTCATTTACTCAATGCATATGTGTTAAGGCACAAACAGTATATGAAGTGTTAGGAATATATTTTTTCAGGGGCAAATAGATGAGTTGATTACAATATATTTTCTAAACACTATGGTACAAATATGTAGCAAGATTTCAAAGAGCAATGAAGAGGTAAAGACTGAGGCTCCAAGGTGCAGACAGGAGTGTGGGAGGGAAGAGTGTCGTCAGACAGGCTTCCCAGAGAATGCAAACCATGCTTGGGCTAGGTACGGATGTTGCTGACGGTGTTGTGAGGATGAGAAAACCAGGAATTGTAGACATGGTGGACCATGTGATCTAAATCAAAGGAGCACACACGTGTTCTTTGCATCTGAGTGTATTCGTGAGTAGTTTGATGCAGGTGAAACATGACATCGGAGTGATGGGGGATGGAAATCTCTTGGCATAATACAAGGCTTGGTCCTTAATCTAGTTGGTCAGTGATTTCTTGTCTATCGTACTAGTTTTTCTCTATAAAGTCTACAAAGTCTGTTTTCAATGGCCAAAAATCCAGATGTACAAATACAGATGTGTTTGTAGGTTTAAGCGCAGACATACCTCTTACCTTGGGTGACTGGAATTTATTATAAGGATGAGTTCTACTCAGGAGACTGAGGCAGGAAGATTATAAGTTTGAGACAAACCTGGGCAACTTAGTGAGATCATTTAAAATTAAAAAAATAATAATAAAAGGATGGAGATGCAGTTAGGTGCTCCCTGGGTTCAATCCCCAGTACTGCCTAACTAACTAACTAACTAAATAAACAAGTATAGATTGTCGGGAGCAATGCTACATAATTTTAGGGTAAAATCATTTGGTTAGCTTAGTTCTCCTGCCTACAGCCCAGCTATGGAATTCCAAGACATAATTCCATTTTGGCCTCCGGTCACAACTGAGACCTCAATGATCCGGTGGTGCTGTGATTCTCCAGGGCAAGAAACATTCTGGAAGTTGAAAACATCCTGGGAGGAACAAACATCTACTCAGTTCCTCATTGCTCTTGGATTGTTACATCTTATTTATGCAGGATGTACTGAACTCTCTGCAAGTCATTTGTTACATTTCTTTCTCCTGATGTACTGAGTACTGAATAAAAGGTGTAGTAAACTGGGGCCTTTTGTCTTTGTCGTCCAGAGCAGCACTGATCAGAACCAAAGCTCAGCTTCTCAGTCTCATTTTTCTACCTTTCCTGTAATTCGCCTTGTGCTGCCATGGCTCGCAGGAGACTAGGACTCACTGCAGAGGCTCTGGTAACATCCCCTTTCCCTGTTACCTACAGTAGATTAGGGGGCAAGTAAGTACAGAACTATTTGAATACAACAATCAGGCTGCATTAGAACTGGAGCATTGTTCATTCATCTCCAGGATTATATAGCAACTCTGGTGCCCCAAAAGCAATGCTAGGGTTGTCATCACATGGAACCGCATTCATTCTTCCTGCACAAGTTCCCTTCCATTCATTTAATTCAAGTTCTCTCTCCTCTCTCTCTATTTATTTACTTACTTGATTTTTGAGAAAGCATCTCACTTTGTAGTTCAAGCTGACCCTGAACTTACTATGTAGCCCAGGCTGGCCTCAAACTTGTGGAGAATCCTCCTACCTCACCTTCCCTAGTGCTAGGCTATCCCTCTCTGCATACTTCTGTGCAGAAAAGCAGTAACAGGTGGCCCAGGCATGCTGCTCTCAGATCTGTTTACCAGGTTGGCATCTGGGAGCTTGGCGTTCAGGGGGTTTGTGGCCACCCCTGAAATGCTGAGTCCCCCACTGTAGCATAGTCCATGCTACATACTGCTGTCATTCAGGTGGCCCAGGGCCTTGGCGTGTGCCCGAAGAGGGTGCCCGTGTGCCCAGGCCTTAGTACAGACCCTGGGCACTGAGTCTGCAGCGAGCTTCCTGGGAGGCAGCCGCTCCTACCTGCTGTCCTACCCACTGCTGGAGGAGCCTCGTTAGAAGGAGACTCTTGGAAGCTGGTGCTGGTTTCCTCCAGACTCTGCCCCCAGTGCCTTTTCCCTGTGATGATTCTGCTGTTCCCTGTCACTGTCCCAGCCTAGGGAAAACTCTACATCCTGCTCGTCATCAAACCTAGGGGTTGGTGGTGAGGACTGCCACATAGCTTTGCTTGGGACTCCGCAAGGAAGCTCACCTTACTCACAGGACACCACCCAGTCCTGATGCTCTGATTTCCGGCTGCCTCTCATCTTCATCTAATATCACCCCCCAAATACTCCCTAGTTACCAGTTCCACTAGATTCCTTGCTGGTCCTCATTCCAAGAATGTTCTAATTCAAAGCTTTTCACTTGCATTTCCCTCTGCCTGTGCCTTTGCTCCCAGATATCTGCCTGGAAGTCTCCCTCACCCCATTCTTACCTCCACACATACCTACTCTCTTCTCCTGTGGAAATACTAGCATACCGATTTAAGGGGGAGGCACATAGCCCCCAGACATAAAGTCCACCTGGCTTGCTGATGGCTGTGGTTCTGTGACTAAGTACAAGCCAATAGCATAAAAGCAGAAGCCAGGTTTTTTTGTCTGAGCCCAGCCATATTGGATTTTTTCTCACTTGAAGTTGGCGCTAATCCTACTAATGTAAATCCTAATCTCTACTCACTTTGAAGTCAGGCACAGAGTGACCTCGTTCAAAACATAGTACCACATGAGCTTCATTTTGTGGGCATAACCAGAAAACTGACCCGTAGAATATTGTCCTATGGGAAATCTCAGCTGTGGAAAAGCACTGTAGTAATGCTCTCTGGTGAGTCACATGATCTTGTGTCCACACACTTTTCTGCAACTCGATGTAGTTATCTTCCATCAAAAGGCAGAGATAGGAGACCGAAAGAAAAAGCAAAGGTTATCTCTTCACCCTTTGTATCTGAGTGATACTGGCTTTGCCCAGTGGAATGGGACAGAGGTAACACTGCAGTTCTAGAGTCTAGGCCTTAAGACATGTCTAGGCCTTAAGACAAGTCTAGGCCTTGAAACTTCTACTCATCTTCTTGGAAGCCTGAGGTCATCAAGCTGTGAAGCTGGTGAGGCTTACAATAGCATGGAAGACCCTGTGGAGAACACGTAGGCACCCAGTGCAGAGCCAGGACCAGCTGGCAGCTCTGTGAGTGAGGGCTTCTGTTAGGGTCTGGAAGGGATATTCCCCCCAAATCTTGTGTGTCCAAAACTGGGGCTTGCGGAAGTGATGAGATCATGATGGCCCTGACTTCAGTGCATTAACTTAATTGATTTACTTATAATTTGACGGCTATCGAGAGGTGATGAAGATTTAAGAGTAGAGCCTAGTGGAATGGAGTGGGTAACAGAGGGCGTGACCTTAGGGACTCTATCTCGTCCCTGGCCCCTCCTCTCTGGCTCTTTCTCGAGCTCAGCTTCCTGGTTGCCAGGACCTAAGCAGCCTTCCTCTGCCGTGCCCTTTCGCCATGATGTTTCTGCCTTGCCATGGGCTGACAGACATTAGAGCCAGCTGACTCTGGACTGAAAACTCAAACCACAAGCCAATATAAACCTTTACTACTTTAAGTTGTTTTTCTCAGGAATTTGGTCACAGTGATGAGAAAGCTAACTGACATACCTTCTTAGACGTTTGGCCTCAGGTAAGCTGTCCCATGACAGATGACTTGAACAGATGAGTGCTTGCAGGCGAGACCAGAGTCACTCCCAGGTGAGCAGCTGACAGAAATATGAGGGCAAAGAGTTGCTGTTTTTAACTCAGTTTTGATGAGGATTTTTGTGCAGTACCTGAAGAAAAAAAAAGCCTGAAAGTGAACAGCAATTTAATTAGGATTAGAAACTTCTAAAAGGAACTACACAAGCTTTAGCTTACTACTTTTAACATTTAAAATGAGGATCATAAACTTTCAATAATAAGGAAAAAAGAAGAAAAGGAGTAGCATCAGATGGTGAAAGGAACATTGGATGAGAAATTAACAGAATTGGGTTGGACACCCCCTTCATTAACTAGTTTTATGACCTTAAAAAGTTGCCCAGCCTCTCAGTGTCTGACTTCCTCAGGGACAGTATGAAGATCACTCCACTGCTTACTCATTCATTCAGGAAATTTCCATCACTCCTTACTGCTGGGAACCGTTATCATGAGGGCTAATATGATAGGAGATATTAACTTTCTATGTACATTTTTCTGCATAATTTGCTTTTAAAAAACATAAAATTTTCTTTATGAGCAGCAAAAATAATAATAATAAAGGTGTTATGGAATTTGAATTGTGTCCTTCCTAAAATCCTTATGTTGAAGCCTCAAATCCTCAATACTTCAGAATATGACTATATTTAGAGACACAGCCTTTGAAGAGGTGATTAACATAAGTTTTAAATTAAAATGTCCTAATGCAAAATGACTAGTAGATTTCCTTTTTCTTTCTTTCTTTTTTTTTTTTTTGGTACTGAGGATTGAACTCAGGACCTTGTGCTTTCAAGGCAGGCATCGGCACCATTAAGCTAAATCCCCAGCCCCTGGATTTCCTTTTTTTGAGACAGGGTCTCACTCTGCAGTTCAGAATGGCCTTGGACTCAGTATGTAGCCCAGACTGGCTTGGAACTCATGGCGATCCTTCTGCCTCCACCTCCTGAGTGCTGGGAATACAGGTGTTCGCCACCACATGTGGCATGGATTTCCTTATAAGAAAGGAAATTTGGACACACACAGAGACCAGGAACCCACGTGCACAGGGTTAATGCCACGTGAAGCCATGGTGACATGCTGGCTCTTGGCAAGTGAAAAAAGGAGGGGTAAAAACCCAGTCTACTGACTCCATGATCTTTGGCTTCTAACCACTGGAACAGTGAGGAAATCCACTTCTCTTGTTTACTCCAGCCCATTTTTAGTATTTTGTTGTGGAGCTCCTGGCAAACTAATAAAGACTGTTATGGCTTGTGTCTAGATGTCACCCCAAAGCCTCATGTGATCTTAGGTGGGGCTTTTTCAGAGGTGACTGAGTCTAGGATGTGTGATTGATTCCTGGTGCAGTGCTAGGCCCGAGGGCACTAGGATTAAGGGTGTGAGTTCTACCTGCCCTAAGTAGTCTGGAGAAGAAGGGGGTAGAAAGACTTCTCTTGCTGCTTTTGCAGTCTTCTACCACCATCAACTGTTGCCCCTCTGCCATGTGCCACCCTGCCTTGAAGCCAGCTGATTATGGACTGAACCTCTACAAACTGTGAGCTAAATAAACCTTTCCTCCTTTAAATTTGGGTGTCAGTATTTTGTCTCAGCAATGAGAAAAGTAACTAACACAAAGATATTTTCATATGGAAAAAGAGTTAATGTGTTTAATGAGGTCATGGTCCATACTCCCCTCTGCTCAAGTTCAAGAAAAAGAAGAAGGAAATGCATCATCTATGTGGCTGTGTTGTGGCTAAGGGGATGTAAGTGGAAGAAATGTGTAAGCTGAAGCTCCGTGTAATTTCTGGGTCATCTCCACCATAAAAGGTAAGTCACCTGCCTCAGAGTCCCTCTCTTTCTAGGGGTCGGAACACTGAATGTGGACGACCCAGCTTTGCCCATGAAGCCACCTTAGAGAAGGACAAAGGGGAAAATGGAAGCAATCTGGCTCCCTGAGTACTGCAAAGAGGACCCCAAGAACCTGTACTGCTCACCTTGGGACGTAACCGGAGCAAGAAGGGAGGGAGCTTCCTTCTTAAGTGTCTGCATACACATGTTTGCACTTCGGTGTTGTTTCTTTGGGCTGCTACCCCTTTACCCTAATGAACAGGATCCATCTCTTTCTTAATTTCTCAATGTTTGCTTTCCAACTTCCCCTTCAAAGTTTCCATGGCGCTCCTATTTATCTCACCTACGTGGGATAGATGACCTAGCTGGTAGGGCACCAGAGAGACACTTGTGTGATATTCTCCTACCTAAATGTTGAATAACCCTAAAAGGAGAAGCCAGTTACCTCTCACTGCTCTCGCCTGGTTTCTCACACAGATCTCCGCCTTGCCCTCTTTGTCCTACTTGGAGAGAACAGCAACCTTGCCCTTCATGGTTTGGCCTTGCAACCAATGGGCATGGCCCACCAACAGGACTTTCCACCCTACCTGCCCCATTTCCCTTTTCTGTCTTCTGAGAGACCCTTGCCTCAGACCAAAAAAAAGAAAATCTGGTAAAATAATGTAGATGATTAAAGAAGGTTTATACAAGGTGGGGTGGAGGCTGGTCTTGGCCTTATTAGATGCTGAAAGATTATAAATACATAAATAAAAAGTAATTAAAGCATAGTACATATTGAGAATAGTCAGAAATCAGTAAACTAGAAGATAACATGTAAGTAGAGTTCTTAAAGTAGAAAGGGATAGTAAGATTTTAAATAAACTGCAAGTCTGAGGAAGAGTTTTTAAAAAATAAATAACACTGGGAAAATAACTTTTTGATGGACATTGTATTAGAGATTTGCATCACAGCATATATAGTGATAGATCAATGATTTAAATATTCAACCATAGCGAATTGGAAATGAAATAGAAGAAAGACTGTATTATTCCTTTATGATGAAGGGACTACCTCAAGCAAAAAAAAAGCAATGGAATAAAATATAGGAAAAATAATGGAGTTGACCATTTCAAAATACAAAGTTTCTAAAACACAGATAAAAGGAAAGGGCAAATCACAGTCTGGAAAGTTTGTACAACATACATTGCAAAAAATTGGGTTACTATCATTTGTCAAAATTCCAATACTGGTTACACCAGACTCGGCCTGTCTGTCCTACACCCTCACAGATGGACGCGTCTGATGAAAGACACAAACCATGTGGACTGGCCTCACTTTACACTGGCTGCCGAATGCCTTCAAGTATGACTTCAGTCCACATCTAAGATCGTAACGTGTTTTCCTAGTTCATTTGCTCTCCCAGAGTTCCCAACCACTGTCTCATACCCACTTCTCACGCTTCAAAATTCTAGCACCTCCTCCCCATCCTCTCTCTAAACTGATGATCTTGCTTACAGCACTTGGAAGAGTAACGATCAGAAGAGAGCTGCCACACACAATCAGAAGAGAACTCACCACCAAATCAGCCAGAAGAGCCATCTGTCTCTGTCCCCTCCACCCCTGCAAGGGCTCTAGCTCCTGTCCCCTGTCCCCTACTCAAGGGCAAGGATGTGTCTCTAGCAATATGACCTCCACCCCTAACTGGGTCATGCTCTTCAGCCTAGTCATTATTTTTCACGTTTCTCCCCAAGTCATTACCCTGTTTCTCGGCTCTCCTTTGCAGCAAGCTTCCCAGAAGGAGCTATCCATACCTATGTTGCCTGGCCCAATTCCTGTACTCTTGGCTCTCTCTCCAACTCAATTCATTTAAGCGTTCATCCTCCACCAACCTCAGGGCAACTGCTCTTGTCAAGGTCACCAGTGGTCTTCATTTTTGCGAATCTCCATGGTTGATCCTCAGTTATAGCTCACCTGATCTATCTGCAGTATCAGACACGATTACCCCTTCTCTCCAGAAATATCAGACTCACTCTTTATCCAGCATACTACTGTCCTTCCTGTGTTCTTCTGGCCCATTTTTTAGTGGCTAAAATTGTCCCTGTCTTTCCACCTTTCCCCAAACTGCTGCACGTGATGTCCTCCCCATTTCAGTCAATGACACCATCTTTCTAGCTGTCCAGACCAAGATGCTGGGAGCCATGCTGGCGTCTCCTCCTGTCACACTCAGCAGACAGTGGTCCCCATGGTGGTTCCAATTTCCACATGGATCCAGGTGCTGATTACACCTCACCATGGTGACTGCTACCACCCTGGGACATCCTGGACTGTGCCAGTGGATTAATCCAACTCCTGACAGATTTCCCTGCTTCCATTCCTGCTGCTTTTGCTCTGTTAGGACTGGTTAGGTCAGGTTAGCATGTCATAGTGTTACTCAAAACACTCCAACAGATGCCCATCTCCAAGTAGAGGCCACACAAAGTCCTCACGCATGAATGTGTGATGTGTGTCTCCCAAGCCCACCAGCTTCTAGACTCTCTCCTCCTTCACTGCTTCAGCCACAGCAACCTTCTTATGGTTCCTGAAAAAGCCAGACCCACTTGTATCCTGGTAGCTCTCCCTCTGCCGGGCTGCCTGAACCCAGGGAGGTGGCCACAGGGTTTGTTTGTTTCCTCCTTTGTATCTTTATTCAAATGTCACCCTCCCTGACCACTGTCTGCAGCTCTACCTGCGAAACCACACTCCTTCCTTGTTTCATTAGTATCCATTACGTGTAACGCTACCACATCTAGTACACTATAACATTTTAGTTATTTTATTGACTGTCTGCTTCCTAAAAATATAAACTCTATGAAGTCAGGGAGTTTTGGATTTTTTACTGATATAGTCCCCAGTGCTGCCCCATTATCAGTTGCTCAAGAAAAATGTGTTGAATAAACTAATGAGTTATATTTAATGCCTGTACAAAGGTGAAATAGGGATACAAATCTCTTCAAAATTCCAATTTAATTTGATAATATACATTATCAGAAGTCTGAAATTGAACTCAGTAAATTTTACACCCAAGAAATTTATCAAACAGTTTCCCCAACTACTATAGGGCAAACACTGTTCCAGAGTATTAATAGGTATTTGGAAAACGAAATTATTCTGAAAAAAAAAAAATCTCTTAACCTGCTGTGGTTCTGAGTTGATTATACACAGTTATTACCTGGAGAGCTTTAAAAAATGTTGGGGTCTTCATCTGCTTTAATTGGTGTGGATGGGCTGTCTCTCATTTCATGCTATTAGCAGGCCTTGGTGATTTCCGAGATCCTTTACTTCATTAAGAGCTACTGGTGCTCATTCTGTCAACATCTCCCGGTTTGTATTTTTTTTGTACACAAAATGATGGGTTTGAGCATATGTGGGATGCTCGTGTTCATCTGAGAAATGCTCTCAATTAGGGGTTTGTATGGGAGCATTTACTATTTCTTCCTGGTGACTTACTGTGGTGTGTGTGCTTGCGTGTGTAAAAGCTGAACTTTACATAGAGTCATCCACTCCAACACGTGTCAGGCTCAAGGTCAAGGTCTCTCACACACTTTTTCTGGACCTGTAAGGGGCAGGGATCTGAAGCTGGGTGAGCTGGGCTTTTACTCTTCTCTTCTGATGCTTTCTATTCGTGTATTTTTACACAGGACCCTGGGAAACACTCAACAAACAGTAGTAACTCTGAAGCACCTAGGGGTGGAGCAATTTCTGGGTTCTGAAGGACCTCTGACCCTACAGAAGCCTTCTCATCCTCTCTTTTTACATGTGAGTTGTAGCATTTCTTACAGTATCCCTTTAAGGATGAGGACCACTAATATTTCCTCCAATTAAATAAATCTTTCATCAATAAAGAAATGCTTTATCCGTCTCTAGTTCACTTGGCAATAGTTATTTTATTTAAATTTTTTTCATAAACAACAAATCCAGGCAACTATTCAGAGGCATGGTACACTTTAAAAAAGGTTTTTAGAATTTAGAAGCCAAAATTGTCCATTCTATCTGAAAAGATGATGTAATTGACTTTCAATCACCCATTTAGGGATCTGTGTCTTTCCAAGAAAAACTACAGTGATTCTTCCCCAGCAGATTCAGTGTGCAGATGCTACTGCACTTAACACTGTCAATTCCAGAACATTAAAAACTCCAGTTAACCATTTTGATAATCCAAGAAAGAAACAGTTAGTGTATGTCTGTTAGTTTTAAATCCCAGCTCCTTAACTTACTATAAAGTGAGAACAATCACTTCACATACATTATGCAATTCTTCTAAGTGTAAAACTCCTGCATGTAGCAGAAGAAACTCATCAACAGAAAATTTATTTTCTCTCCTACTGATACATACAATAACTTTTTCTTCAAAGCAAGTTATTTGTCCTAAAAAGTGATTTTCTTTGATTATCTAAATGCTTAATTGGGTTTTTGAATGCTTGGTAATCATCATTTGGTTGCTATTGTTGCTTTGGGTTAAATCTTTTTTTTTTGTAATTGAAAAAAATTTTTTGTTATTTTTGAGACAGGGTCTTGCTATGTAGTTCACGCTCATCTTGAACTATGTAGTCCAGGGTGTCTTTGAACTTTCAGCAGTTCACCTGAGTGCTGGGATTACAGGTGTGTGCCATTAGGCCCAGCTCAGTTAAATCTTTTTAAAGAGATTAAGACTTTTTTTTTTTACCTTGCCCATTATGTTACAAAGTGGATTATCTCTGTAATGTGGGAACACTGTGGTTCTTATTAATTTTTTATTGTTAAATTTTACCAGACAAACCTTCAGGTATGAAAAGACATTACTTGGTAGGGGCTGGGGATTTAGCTCAGTGGTTCCACTGCCTGCCTCGAAAGCTAAGGACCCGAGTTCGATCCCCGGTACTAAAAAAAAAAAAAAATTACTTGGTGAGTTGTTTTATTGGAATATTTTAAATAGACAGTGCAAACAAAGTGAAAATGAACTTGGTAATGAGATAAACCTTTAAACCCGAGAGTGAGCATGGGATCCGGATGCTGGACAAAATTTAGACAAGCCTTTATTAATGAGGACCCAGATAACCAGGGTCTTTGCCGTACAGGATTCTGGCAGATGTCCTGCTGTAGTATAGTACTGGGACTCACTAAGCAACCCCCTTAGGCAGTTGTGTTGAGATTCCATGCATAAAGTAAGGAGTCTTAGAATAAATTTATGTTTTGGCTGTAAAAAATGAAGACTCCCAAAACAAACAGCTTTAGAAGAGGACTATGAAGTAATCTTACGGGCCGGGGATTTAGCTCAGTGCTTCCCCCGCCTGCTTTGCAAGGGAAAGGTCCCGAGTTCAATCCCTGGTACCAAACAAAACAAAAAACAAAGATGAAGTAATCTTACACACATGCTGACAAATCAGTAATGTAATCATTTTCCCCTAACTGGGTGGGCCGAGTGGCACTTACTTCATTGAAGGAAAGATTACTATTAGGGAAGATTATGTACATAGCAGCAGTTCTCCTGGATACCCCTTTCTGTTTTTGTTAGCCACTACCTTTATACCTTTGAGTGATTTGGGAGTAGGTGAACCACCTAACCTGAGCCGAAGAGCTCCTGTACTGCCCACATTATCTTGTTTTTCAACACTGTCTTTTGTTTTCCTGAATGAGAAAGCACAGGGCTGCCGTTTCCTTTCTGAGAACTGCTGAGTGGGTAGGAAGTAAGTAGATGTTCAGCTGAGTTCTGGGGGAGGGCAGAACGGGTAGGGCTGGGTGCTCACTTCTGCGGAAGCTTCTGGTTCCTCTTTATAAAACATCGGTGTAACTGTTCTAAGCAGCACTACCTCATCCTCTTTCTCGAGAAAATGAGAATTCAGGGTGGCTACATTTTTTTTTTTTTTTTTTGCTCAAATTTGGCCACAAGTCTGTTCAACATCCTTAATTGGTTCCTATCTATTGTTCGTCTTTTAAAAAGCTCATCAAACCTTTATAAAGATCTAAGTATTGGTTTTAAGATCTGACTTAAGTATTGCTTCTGTGAGAATGTTTTGCCTACATTTAAAAATGTAGCTCTGAGGGGCCGGGGATTTAGCTCAGTGGTTCTGCCGCCTGCCTCGCAGAGCAAGGACCCGAGTTCGATCCTCGGTACCAAAAAAAAAAAATGTAGTCTGTAGCTCTGAGGACAATCCAAGGGAAATGTCAGATAACCAAGGCAGAATCCAAGTTTCTTATCTGGGTTGGAAGATGGGATCCCCGAGGCTGGGCCCTAGGCCTGCCTAATGGCATGGTGTGTTTTCATTTGATGTTGAAATCAAGCTCATTACTTTACACCACATTCCCGCACTTAGAACTTAACTATGAAATTAAAACTTCTGCTTCCTTAAGAATGTCTTGTCTCTCATTAATGTCATGATTGTTTTAAAAACTATTTTCTAGGGGAATAGTACATTTATGCTGCTTGTTTGCGGATATTTAAGAAGTGGTGGTTTATCTAAAAATATTTAGAAAGGAGAAAATTTGCATACGTTTCCCTACCGGATAGTTAACTAGAGGATTCTTTAAAGCCCTACTATATATCCTACTGCTACTTTATTTCTTCAATCTATTTTGGACTCTTAAAAATTCCACCACTGCAGTTTAAGTCTAAAAATTACTTACCCTGGGGTGAAGACTGCCTAGATTCAAAAATTTAGTTGGCGCCTCTCCAGCTATGTATCTCTGGTGAATTTCCTTATCCGTAAAATGCGGGTTAAAATTAGCACTCATCATATAGAGTTGAGGAGCGGATTCAACAATCACAATTTAAGCTATTATTCCTTTTAAAATAGAAAATCGAAATATTGTAAAATCGAAATATTAACCCTCTATCTACTATTTGCTAGGTACTAGTGGGACAACTGTGATCCAGTTTCATCTACACGGCAGAGATCTTGGTTTTACTGTCCCGGTGACTAAATTACAGTTAGGAAGGTTGACCAGTTGTCCTAAGAGTTCAAGCCGGGGTGGTCTCCAAGTACACGTACTTTTTTTCTTCAGGTTATGTCTGTTTCTCGTCGCTGTTGTATGATTAATTCCTTTTGGTTGTATAAAAACAGGCGCAAATTAAGAGAAAACTCGCGGGGACGGGTTAAGAAAATCGAGAAGTCTGCAAAGGAAGTGAACGAATTTCCTGTCTACTTGCTCGGTGTAACCGAGGGAAAAGTGGTCGATCAGAGCCTGTTTACAGGGGCTGTTCAATCACCAGCGAACGACCTCCTCCTTCTGGATCCCAATTTAAAAGTGCCTACAATGTGGAAGCTGAATTCGTTTCCAGGTTCCCCTCCGGCCCGAAAAGAAGTCCAGTCCCGCAGCCCCGGACGCGTTCACCATCCCAGCCTGTTCTGAGATCCCGACCAACCACCCAAGCGTGGCCCTGTTCCTACCCGCTCGCTCACTTTCGCACCCACCGAGTCCCAAATTCAACCGATCCCCGCGATCGCGGGCTAAAGGGCAGGGCGGGCAGCGCCGCAGAAAACGGAGAAGAACCCGGTACCAGGGATCCGCAGACGCCGGACGTGCAGGGCGGGGCGGGGCCGGATGACGTCACGCGGCCCAGCCGACAGCGGATTGGATGGCCCAGGGGGCGGGGCCCGCTCTGCCAGCCCGGGGGAGGAGCCAGGGGGCTGCGCGGGCGCCCTCGGCCGGTCCCGCCCCTTAGTTTCCCGACCCTGCGCTGGATGGGCGTGGCGACGTCGCCTGACGTCACAATGGGAGGAGCGTGCTGGGCGTCCCGCCGGCGCTCGGGCGCGTTTTGCAGTCGGTGTTTGGGACGCGGCGCGCGTGTTTGCTCGGTCTTCGCTCCAGTGCGGCGATCGCAGTGGGCGCCTTCCCGGGCACGGGACTGGTGCGGGCCCGAGAGTTAGCGTGACGGGCTTGGCACGGACGTGTGCCCTCACTGCCTTTTTTTGAACCTTTATCCGCTCGCCGTCCTCATTGGGAGCGGGGTTGCTGGGCGAGTGCTTCGCATTTTTCTCCCGAAGTGGTTTTGTCCCCGGCTTCGGGCCGCCAGGCTTGGCTCCCGGTCCCCAGTAACCGCCCTCGCCCCTCGGCCTTCCCTGCCCCGGCCCCCGGCCCCGCCCAGTCACCGCACCTGCCTCGCTATGAACGGGCTCGGCGACCTGCCTGTTTTCATAAAAGACATTAAGCCCGGACAGAAAAACTTAAATGTCGTCTTTATTGTGCTGGAGATAGGTAAGTGGGGTCCGCAGCCCGCCCCACCGCCCGGCGCGCCCCCCCACGTGGCCCAGGCGCCCCCACTTCCAGCTGCGGAGCCGCGGGGCGCACGTCTGGACGCGACCCCCCTCTAACACACCCTCTCGGTTTTCACTCTTCGCAGGACGCGTGACCAAAACCAAAGACGGCCATGAAGTGAGATCGTGCAAAGTGGCAGATAAAACGGGCAGCATCACTATTTCTGTGTGGGATGAGATCGGAGGTCTTGTACAGCCTGGGGATATTATTCGGTTGACCAGAGGGTAGGTGTGCACACCACGGGGAGGGGAGCGAGTGCAGCGCTGGGCCCGGCTGCCCCCGCCCGCTTAGCGCCAAGTTCTGAAGTCCCAGGACCCCGCTGGGGCCCCCAAGTCCTGAAGTTCTGACTTCTGAGTCCCTTTGGCAGTGTTGGGGTGCTACACGGCTTTAGGACAAACACACTTGGTTTCAGGCACCAAATCCACCCTCTCCCCACAACTGACAGGTTAGTTGTATTTTTAAATACTGTTCTGGGAGTGGAGTCTTTTTAGTAGATCGATATAGTCCGAAGTTTCACCTTTTAATAAGTCATTTAATTCAGGATATTCCGTTCTTTTTCATCTCCACCCATTTTAATGACTTGAGAGCCTGCCAGTATTTTATTTGTGCTGGCGGTAGTAAGATGATGCGGATGTAAATGAAAACTTGAAGAATTTAGCATTCTCTGTGGGTGTCAAATTTGAATTTGTACTCAGAAAAATTTAAGACTATGTAGCCCAGGCAGGCCTCAGACTCCTGTCAATCCTCCTGCCTCAGCCTCGCAAGTGCTGGTATTATAGGCCTGTGCTACCGCCCCTGGCTGGGAGGCTCATTTTTGAAAATGATTTTCTGTTTTCTGTTCTATGAAACTGAAATGACTCGCAGAAAATGCTTGACAGAAGAACATCAGTGACACCTCCATCCACAAGATTTAATTGGCAGATGGATGGCTTTACAAAATATCTTAGCACTTTTTAATAGACTTACTTTAAAAATTTACCAAATTGTAGGAAGATAAAAGGTCAAGAAAGGATCTTGGAAATAGAATCTGGAGGCTTTTGTGATCAACAGAATTGTCATAATTTATCCATCAACTATGGGAAAAGTAGGTGGAGGTTGATGCTGGCCTAAGAACCTCAGAAGCACCGGCCTGCCCTGTGTGTAGGAGCTTAGAGCTAGCTAGTTGATGCTGTCTAACAGGCATTACAACATGCAGGAAGTGAGGTAGAGAATCAGCAAAGCAGGAAATGACAGTCAGGACTTAGACATTGTATTTTCATACACTGACTCATTATGACAGTAATTATGTCTTTTAAACTTCCACATGTTTAACTTACACAAAAGAGAACTTCTGCCTGGGAGGGTGTGGTGAGGATTAGCATAATTGAAGTTTTCTTGCTCCCAAAATATCTTTTATTCAGTGATCTAATGATTAAAAGTATTTTACACACTGAAAACAGCATCTTGTTTCAAATATTTCATATTCTGTAGTGTTCCCATTAAAAAATTTGTCAAAAAACTAAACTTTGTAGTTACAATATTCAAGGAGCACAGTTACTGAGGATCACAGTTTTTAAAAATTCAGAGCTGTAGAAGTTCTGTTTACAACTTCACTGTAGCTTTAGGTAGTAAATATACCTCCACACTTCAGTAACCACTTCTGTAAGATGGGAATAAATGCTCCTTAAGGTAGCACACTGCTTGGATCACTTCTCGGCCTTTTGGCTAAGATCAAGTGTAGCACACTGCTTGGAGTGTGGCCAGTTGTTGGCCCTTAAATTCTGGCTAAATCTAAGAAAAGTGGCTTTTGAAAACAGACATATCTAATATCTTAAAAGGATGGTTAATTTGAAATATTGGCATGTTTGTAGCCCCTGCAAAACCGATCTCATTATTCTCATTTCTTAAACAAGTGAAGTTAAATGTTTTAGTTGTAATTGTTTTTTTCTCCAAATATTCATTAATATTTACTATAATGTGAATTGTTAATGCCCTTGCTTCCTAAGTAACTATTTGTATAACTTGAGAATAGTGAGTGGAGTCTCTAATAAACCTTACTAAAAAGAGAACTGTAAAATGTAAACTAGTGAATTTTTATTAACCTATATTAGAAGACAAGCTAATGCTATGTTTGGCTGTTATTTAACTGTGTCATTTAAAAAGTCATCGAGTTACCACGGTGGTTACAGAAAAACCATTGAAAACCAAACCTTGGACCGATGTTATAACATTGACTTTCAAGAGTAAACAGTTGTTCAGCCTGGTTGGTATTAAAAGTTGCAAAGTTGGAAGGGCAGGTGGGTGAAAGATTTGTGGCTTCAGCTTTTTTGTTTTTTTTCAGTAGTTTGATTAAATTCTGCCAAATTTTCAATTATGTGGAAAACCTGTGGCTTATAGAGGCAGAAGGAAAACTGTTACATTGGTACCTATCTCGGCCATGCCAGAGTGTAAAAGTAAATACTAAGGTGTTGATTTTATATATCTTGTGGCTGAAAAAAAATAATAACTTCTTAAATTTCTGCAGTTAAGAGCTCTTCTTTTGTTAATTGTAGATATCATCACCTGCATATGACAATGCTTGCTTTACAAAAAGTCTTACTTTTTAGGGTTATAGTTTAGATAGTGATGTCATGATTTGGCCTCAGTAGTAAGTTAATCAAAGCTCGATTTATTATATTTGATTTACCATGGGAAACAGACGGCTTGACTCCAGCTCAAAAAACTACGGCATGGAGATTGACTTGTCTCCAGAAAACTCACTGCTGTCTCTGTTCTCCAGGTATGCGTCCATGTGGAAAGGGTGCCTGACACTTTATACTGGAAGGGGTGGTGAGCTTCAGAAAATTGGGGAGTAAGTATTAAAATGCAGTCCCGATAGTGGGATAAGTTACAATTAATGTCTACAGAATATTGGTAGGTACAAGCTATAAACCACTTCCTTGGCCTTTTTTGATAGATAAATTGTTCAACAGCTTTATTCTCATAAGGAGGTACTAGTTCAGCAGCTATGAGTAACATTTCCTGTGGTCTAGAATGTCCGTTTTTCCTGCAAAGAGCAGTAAGGAGCAGCAGACACCAGCCCGGTGGGACTGTGTCTGTAGGCTTTAGGAACATGCATCTTTCAGGTGTCATTTGAAGTAAATTCTCTCTTCTAGTGGTTCACCAGAATAGAAACCAGGCATAAGTTTTGGGCCATAGAATCAAATTTTCTTTTTCTCTGTGCATGGGTGAATTTGTACTCTGTGAAGAGGACTTGAGGCAATGAAAACTGAAGTCCTCTATTTATTCACAGTCTAGGTACGGTGCAGGCAGCCGCAATGCGAGCTTCCATACACTGCTACCCTGCTAAGATCTCCACCCTGGCCTGGAGGAACCATCCTCTCCAGGGTTGTAAAGGTAACTGCCTCCATGTAGCCTAGACTTCTGGGTGGCACTCGTAAAGTATGGTATCAGCAGTGAGCCAGACCATCAGTGAATGCCCATTAAACCAGAGGATATTTAGAGAGAGAAGCTAAGGATGGCACCGGGGTGGTGGGCAGAGAAACACTAAAGGAATAAGGTTCTTTAGAAAATGTTTTTAATAATAATTTTGCAAGCTTTTAAAGATAAGAAACTGATCTAACACTTTGTTTTCATTAGAAGGAAAATTGAGGTTTTTCCTTAGAGCACTGTTAGTAGAGTTGTGTGTTGAGAAGGTGTCAGGTTGGTACTTCTAAGCCTGTCCTGACCTGGTGTATAACGGGCTTTACAGCAGTGAGGGTCACTTGATTCCTAATGACGGCTTTTTGTCAGGATCAGTGAAGTGTTTCCCCAAACTGCTTCTAGTTTCTTATTAATTAGTGGGGTGAGGAGCTAAGAAAATGCTTTCCTGTAAGCTTGGTGCACATCCTGTCATGAGCTTTTGTAAGAATCTCCAGGATAAGCTGGTAGCTTGATAGCCAATGGTCTGCCTTTGTCGACAGAACCCACTCTAAACCTCGGATGATTATCTTTGCAGATTCACAGTGATTGGTCCAGAGGGACGGGATGAGCGTGTGAGTGGTCAGTGTACGTCCATCACACTGCTGGAGACACCTGTCTGGAACCCAAGCGCGGTTCACTGGCATCAGCCTGTGTGGAAAACCAGACAAAGATGTGCTGCTCTGTCCTTGATCTTTGACATAATTTATATTTTGCAGTACTAAAAAAGAATTTAAGTACAGACTAGAGCATTTTATGTGTGGCAGTCAAATATTGGCTGTTTTTCTGGACGTAAGCATTTAGGAAATGTGTTGTAAATGATAACATTAGTTAGCCGGTGTTAATTCACTTGATACCTAAGTTATTCCTGTAAGGCAGGGATGTTACATATAGAAAGGTTGACTAATCAGAAGTCATTTAACTTGTCCTTTATTTTCTTTCAGATTCTGCATGGTTTATTCAGAAGTGCCAAATTTCAGTGAGCCCAACCCAGATTATCGAGGACAGCCAAACAAAGGGGTAACTAATCCAAATGTGCAGTATATTTCTAGGGTTGGGCTAATTTGACTTTTATATTATGATTCTATGATTAGGCTAACCCTGTAATGTCTGGAGTGTAATGAAGGCAATTATAAAGTCTTTAATTATTACTTGTGTTTGTGAGTCTAGACAGTGTACGATGCTACAGATACAGACTATGTGACACACAGCACTTGGCATCACAGAGACTCATGTCGGAATTGAGGGTCTCACAGAAGCTGTGAACTGGCTTGGGAAACATCCCCAGCTCTTTCAGCAGTTGGATAGACTTGGACAGATCTTTACAAAAAATTTGTTAAAAACAAAATTAAAAAACCCTTCATAATGGCCGGGGGTTTAGCTCAGTGGTTCCGCCGCCTGCTGCACAAGCGCAAGGACCTGAGTTCGATCCGCGGTACCAAAAAAAAACCAAAACCATATTAAAGATAAAATAATTTCATAATATAAACTTTATAACAGTAAAAAGCTTCATCTGGTGAACTTAAAACTTTTTTTCAGGCCCACAGTGAACAGAAGACGAATTCCATGAATAGTAATACTGGTACAGGTACCTTTGGACCAGTGGGTAAGATTTTTATTTTTGCATATTTGTGAAATTTAAGTGTAGAAACTAAGGGAGTTACGAAAGATCTAGAGGAAGCCAGGTAATTGTGCACGCCTGTAGTCCCAGCTACTCAGGAAACCGAGGTGAGAGAATCACTTAAGCCACTGAGTTTGAGACCAGCGTGGGCAATGCAGCAAGGCCCCATCTCAAAAAAATAAAAGAAAGACTCACAAAGGAAAAAAAGTGATTGTAGGCATAAAGCAGTACTAAAGGTGAACTACTAATAAACCGAGTCTCCAGATAAACTGATTTTAGAAGGCAGGTACACTTGCAAGGCGATTTATTGATATTGAGCACATTCTGTGTTTAATGTTTGGACCAATTGTGAATTCATTAGTGAATGGTGACTAATAACAAAGTCTGAAATGAAATGCCGTTTTTTTCTCTCTAAAATTTCTGTGATCTAGTGATTATTTGCAGTAGATACGCACTGAAAGCCTGTCTTCAGAGTGATACATCTGGAGAGTAATAGTAAATTAATCCCTTAAGTTGCATGTCTTTGAAAGATTAGCCTTTTTCCTGTCACATGTCTTGTTAATGGTCTTTGCACCCTGCTGAAGGTCTTCTGAAGCCTTCATTAACTAACTGAGGCAAAGACTGATGAGCACTCATTAGGGGCTAGCTCTGTAGGTGGCCGGGTGGCCTGTTTTGGCACAGCTGATACCATGTGGGAAACTGCGAGGTTTATATGTCTGTTGGGAAATGGTGATCATGTCTAAGCCTAATGCCAGTAGCTAAACATTTTTTGCGTTTTTTTTTTTTTGTTTTTTTGTTTTTGTAGCTCTTACAGGCAGTGTGTGTATTTATGTTTTTTCCCTACTTTATCTCCAATTTTGTTGCCCAAGTTGGTTTTTTTTCTCCCTATTAACACAGCATCAAGTTAATGTATTTGTAATAGCGATACATTTGTAAAGACTTAGAGTCTACATTGGATTTTCTTTTCAGTTTAAAAATGGGGTTTTTTCCCTAATATTCAGAGTATTATAACATATGTTGACACTTCTAATCGGGTACTTCTGTAGCTTACTGTAGCTTACTGTAGACCACTTCTTACAACAGTGACCATGTTTTGTATTCTCTTTTAGGCAATGGTGTTCAAACTGGTCCTGAATCAAGGAGATACCAGGTTTCCTATGCTGGTAGAAGCAATGGCCGAGGACCTGTCAGTCCACAACTCCCAGCAGCAGCTAATAATCAAACAGTCATGACCACAATAAGTAGTGGCAGGGACCCTCGAAGAGCCTTTAAGAGATGACCTATGCCAAATAGTCACATGTAGTTTTTAAACTACATGCCCTACTTGAACACTTCTTGCACTTTTATTTATTGTTAACTGTGAAAAAAAATATGTTCTTTATTGGTTTCCTTTTACATTTTTGTTTGAGTGGTTGGTTTTTATAGCAAAAATGTTAAGCTACTCAGTCTCATAGTGAAGAATGGGAACACTCTAAACAGTAGGGGCATTTATTTTTTGAGCAAAATGTTACTGAATATCCTCTAAAAATTCTGCACCCATTTCAAGGGTTAATTACCTAAAACATCAGCTTTATAGCCTCTATGAGCCTGTGTACTGTATAAATTTCGTAATATTTGACATTAGACTTAGTGGAGATGTTCTTATGTTTTAAATCTAGATGTTACCAACTAAAGCAATAACCAGAAAAAATAGAAACAACAACTAAAAACCAGAAACTCAGTCAATGATAGCAATTTCTGCGTGTTTTTGACTCAAGGAGTGACTGACTCTAGTGAGTGACTGCCATTAACATTTTCCAAGGACTGAATCATCCTAAATTCTTGCTTATTACCAGAGAACAGATTCTCTGTCAGAATTATGAAATAGAATGTGATCTGTACTGTAACATAATTTTTAGAAGAAAGCTACAGTTGCTTTAATATTCATTAACATTATAGAGTACATTGAAGAGAAATTACAAACTAAGACCTTGAATATTTTCGAGACTACAATATATAATTGTATAATTTGAGAACATCATAAAGTCAATAAACATTGACCTAATTCTAAAAAATAACTGGTAGATAAACATCATAGTGAAGGTGATTCAAATTGAATTCGTGTAGTACTAATATTCAGTCTCAAGTTACAAACCCTAAGTACTTAGAGGTACTCAGCCTGAAGTGAAAATCCTTGGTACCTCCTTTTTCTAAGAGGATCATGTGTGTGCTGTCAGTTTCTGAACACAGTTCGATAGCCTTATTAGCAAAAGTTAAATGACTCAAATTATAGCTTTATTCAGAAATTTAAGTTGGAATTTGTGTGTCATAAATGGTACCCACTTCTACTCTTTACTGTAGGGTGGATAACTCAAAAACTTTGTTAGAATTCACCTCTTTTTAAATAGCTCTTGAATAAAACTTGTGTTCATGTTAACAGATTTCGCTAAGTTTTGCTCTTTCAATGCCTTAAAGTGGAGAGCCCAGTACATCTTAACTGTGGTTGTTATGACCACTTCAACCTGGCAGTGACTTAGCCCTGCATTTGTCTCTTTTCTTCCAACCTCAGATCATGAGTTTTAAGTAGATCTTGTTTGAATTTCCATAGCATTTGAATATAAAAATTTGCCAGATTTTTTATTTTGGGGGTCTAACTCAGTGTATCTTCCAGATACCTGGGACATGCTCTGTGTGAGGCACTAGGAAGAGTGTTCAGGGTAAGACAATATTTAGCAACCTCAAGGAGTTTATGTATGCTCTGTAGTTCTGAGGTTTTTATATTAAGGGAAAAACAATTTTTCGTTTATTCATATCAATGATTACAGATAATTTGTTTTTGTTACATTTCAGGATATCTCAAAAGACATCTAAGGACAAATAGATTGTGTTTTGAATAAAACAAATTATTATCTAATTTTTAAAGTCCAGAGGTAGGAGCAACAACATATTTAAGTCATTTGTGGGAGAACATAGTGTTGAAGGTGATTCTAAAAGAATTCTGCGGTTGGGAACTATTAGAACACTGCCAGGTATGGATTGCTGTGCTTACAATAATGATTTCTCCTCCTCTTAACTTGATGCCTGAAAGGTACTAGGCTTGGTGCTTTCTCTGAGCCTTAGGTTCTGCAGCGATGAAGTAAGAAGGCTGCTTTCTGGAGTTGTGTAGGACATGGAGTAAGTACTCAGAACAATTTCTGGTAAATAGTAAGTGGTCACATGTCATCTAATCATCAACTTGAGAGCAAGAAAAAAAATTGGGTGTGGAGGTATCGTCATCTGTTAACATACTGCTTTTGTGATTGACTCTTGCCTTGATAATTTAACCTTGTTCTGTGGTTTTATTATTAACAAGTTTCTTTTTTCTTAAGGAAGGTCTCCACAACCAAAGACAAGTGAATTACAGTTCATAATATTTGCCCTGGACAGCACTCATCAAGAAGTTAAGAGGAAGAAAGTTTCCACCTTTCTCCTTCCTGGCACTTTCAGCTGGCGACTTTGAAATAAATTTAAACACCACCAAGTGAAACAAAAACATTTAGTGTAAAAATGCACTCTGCAAGGATTGGGCCCCATTTCTGAAGTACATCCGAGCCTGGCCATAGCCAAGCTGTCTCAAGTCTGGGCTGGTCTGGGGCTGAGTGGTACATAGTGGGATGGAAAGATGAGACCCGTTGTGCCAGGTGACAGTGTGAACTGAAGGCTTCAGGGCACTCTCCCATGTTCACACATGCAGGATTTCCTGTAGTGGACCTACTCACCTGCTTTTTCTCTGTAGTCTTACTGTTTTAAATTTGAACACAGTTTAATTTGAGCATAGTTTGATACTAGTCACTTCGTAGCTACCATTTTAAATGAATTTTCTTGGTTGAAAAAGTGATGCTGAAAGCATATGTGAGCTTAGTAAATTGTCATTTTCATATGAATACTTTCAAATATGAAGATAAGTTCAGTAGCCCTTCACAGTTTTCTCAGGAGGTACACACTGGGAGTTGCACTGCATTGCTAGTTTACATTTTATGTAAGGATCTTACAGTTGAGCCTAGTTCCTGAAATGACTTCCCCTTTCTGATACCATTAACATAGTGGCTATTTGCTTCAAGCCATTTTGGGCTGCACGTGACTCTTAGATTCCTTTCTAACCTAATGAGTGTTTTAATCTTGAGACTCCTTCCCCATTACTATTTTCCCTTTCAATCGAATTTTCCTTCTCTTTTATCTTGGATAAGAGTTAACATTCCCACTGGAAAAGATGGTTAGTCATTCTCTAGTGGGCCATGTGAGGACGTTAGAGGCAGAGGTTCTCGGCAGTGGTGGGGAGCCTGTGGTGGCAAGGGGACAGCTGATTAGGATTACATGTTGCAGGGATAAACAGCCCAGTGTTTCAGAAGTAGTAATGATTAACAATTGAGGGATGTGCGGAGGAAATTAATTGTGACCTTTGGAAAACAGCACTGTCATTGGTGTTACACTCTGAGGGAGAAGCTAGAAAAACATTTTACTTCTAGGTACTGTATATTTAAATTCTCTAGGTGCCTCAAAGTTGGCTTTATTTATGTGTATCAGTTTGGATTCAAATACTGAAACCAAATCACTCCAGGCTTCTGAACTGAGTCTATTGGTAGTTCTCAAAGTATAGGTCACAGGCTAAGGTATACGCTAGAGAAAAGTCTAACTGACAAGCCATTAGTTTAGCTTTTTTGTGGGGTGGTATTGGGGGTTTAACTCAGGGCTGTTACACTGAGCTGTGTACCACAGGGTCTCGCTAAGTTGCCCAGGCTGGGCTTGAATTTGTGATCCTCCTCCCTCAGTCTCCGAGGAAGCTGAGTAGTTTAGCATATTTACATTTGCAGCCCAAAGTTATTAGAGCGTTTTAGCTCTTCAGCTGTTACGAGATTTCATTTAAGCCTTTTGAAAAGTTACAGTAAGTAGACAACACAATTGTATCATGGTTCTCCAAGCTTCTAGAACATAACCAATTCAAGGCTTGGATGAACTACTGAACAGTAATAGAACCTTGGTCCTTTGAGATGCCATTGATAACACCACACAATCATGATACCTATTGTCTAATCTCAACTGAAGATTAGACAAAGCCTGTTATCATTTCCAACTGGAAATTCTAGTATGTATTTTACTCATCAAAGTACATCTGGATAGGATAATTGAATTTCTTGGTCCAAACATTGAATAGAATAACATAGATTACATGCTGAATAAAACTTCTGTTGTTTGTGCACCACTTATGTGGGATGCCCTGGGAAGTTGATAAAAGGATGAATTACTGCTCAGACCTACTTCGTCCTGGGAGAACTTGTAGTTTGGGAGAGCTACACTTGAAACATCCTGAGGATTTTTGTTCCCTGCTCTTGAGATTGCCCTTTCAGCAGTTTAGATAGCTTTGAAGTTACGTATGTATGTTTTCTGTTTCTTTTCCCAATGTGAAGCTAGAATATACTAAACTTCTGGTTGTACAGGGACAGTTGTGCTTTAAAAGCTGTACCTCTAAAGCACAGAATTGATAGCAAGGGCCAGTCTACACAAGAGTTTGAATACAGCCTCTACATTGCAAATTCTGAGTTTGGTTCAGATAGAATTATTCAAATTATACCAATGCTAAGGTCAGATCACTAATGTAGGGTCACATGGTTTCACCTGACCCTATACAAAAGTAAAGATAAATTCTTCACTCTAACCTTTATCAAATCTAAAACAGTCTTTGTTGCATGTCTCAGCACGTACATCTGCAGCACTTCTGGTGTCTGTCCCTCAATTCACTATTAGAAGGAAGGCTGGTGAAATGGAATAGTAGTAGAGTTGGAGGCAGTGTAAATATTCCTGAGCACACAGCACAGTCATCATCCTTACAGATCTCCTGTAACAGGAAAGAAGCTGTGTATGTTTCCCACAAAGTATGTAAGGCATGATTTGATTGCCACATGGTGCTAGTCTTTAAATATTTAATAGCCCTAGTAGGAGGCTGACCTGACCAGTGAGTAAAAACAGGGCAGTTAGCACTAGTGCCATCTACTGGGTGATTGCTGCATTGTTTATAGTATAGGAAAGGTCCTATTTTTATTGGATAATTTTTGATGGCATAAACACGATAGGGAAGATCATTAAGGGGTAGTTTAAATCTAGTTTGTGAATGAACAATACTCAGTGACATTAAAAGTGAATTTCTCCCAGTTAAGCAGATTAAATCCTGAACTACCCCTAAAGTTATAGAAAATATGGGCAAAGTTGCTAAGTTTTTTATTCCCATATTTGTCAGTATTACTGGTGGAAGTATAAACTGTTAACACTTTTTTTTTTTTTGGTGAAAACAATTGAAGATTGTGAAGCTGCCCTTACACATTTTATTCCTTAACCAGTAGTCTGTTATAAAATCTTGGACAAATGACTGCTGTTATTCTTGTAGGCATATGAGCTTTGTAGAATATAACCTATTTCAAATGTCAGACTGCTTTGGTAAAAATAGGGCTTTGAGCTGAGGAGATGTGGGTTTGAGTCCTGGACCTGTTATTTATTAGTTCCATGAGCATCATAAAATAAGGATAATGGGGTAATGTACTCACTGGGTTATGAGGACTATGTAAGCCAGTGTGTGCCAAACATCTCTATATCTAAGGCTTAACAAATGCTAAATCCTTTCTTGGAGATAAATACTGACCATTTCCCCAAGCCTTTTCAAAGAGTTTGTCATTTTATTTTAAAAATACATTTTATTTTATCCCATTGCCCCCTTAAGCCCCCTCCCATGAGTTTGTCATTTTAGAATTAAAGATTTACAACATCTTAGGTTTGTTTGAAAACTGGTTACTAAGCAGTTCATATGAATTACTGCAATTTTTAAAAACAGTCAAGGTTTTACTCTTCTCTGGGCATAGAAAAGCACTTGCTATGATGACATGTGGGTTTGAGTCTTCATTACAAAGCTCTGCCAATTAGCTGACCACCCTGTATTGTCTTTGCATTTATCTTTGCCCAGAAGGTGAGAACCTGATTGTAAAATCCTAGGAAAAGGGGGCAAGGTTTGTACCAGAGAAGGTTTGGCTAAAGGAAGGCAAAGGGCACCCAGAAGGAATTCTCTATTCCCAGTGACAGCCTTTAGGGTTGCTATGTTTCTTACTTTCTCATGGCTGGGACAAAAAACCTGACAACCACAAGTTAAAGGAGAAAAGGTTTATTTCAGCTCACAGTTTGTAGAGGTTTCATTTCATGGCTGGCTCCAAGGCAGGGCAGTGTGGCAGTCAGGCATGGCAGAGGAGAAACAGTCCATGGCACCACAGGCAGGAGGCAGCAAGCCTTCCTTTCCCTTTTTTGTTCTATCTAGGCTACAAGCCTATTGGTTGGGGCCATCTACATGCAGAGTGGGTTTTCCCTTCTCAGCAAGTCCATCATCCACACCCAGAACTATGCTAAACCAATCAGTGGACACCAGT